TTTTAATAACCGAAATATGGTTTAATTACACACGACATATTTTTCGTATTTTTGTTTGATAAGACTAAATGGACATGGTAAAAACCACAAATAGCTAACAAAAATGTNTGAGAATGGGCAAAACCACAAATAACTACCAAAAATGTCACGTAAATTCCAAAAATTGTACAGCAAGACCATTTGTTATTATTATTGATTTCTTTTGGAGTGATTGTCGCGTAAACAAAAATCACGTGCTCACANTTATTATTTTTGATTTCTTTTGGAGTGATTGTCGCGTAAACAAAAATCACGTGCTCACACTTATATCCTAAACCACTTCCAATACACCTCCTATATTTAATATCATGATCATCTAAGTTGGTTTTAGTCCATAATATCTTGCGAAAGTCAAGACGACACTTAAGCGACTCAAGAGCATGCTTTAAGGCCACATACTTGTAGGAAATCTTAAGGGGACTTACATGCGCCCTCCCATCTTAAGGCATGCCTTTGCTGAAGCGGACCATAGCCTCGCAGGTGCGGTATCGCATTTGCACTAGTCATTTTGTAGTTTTAGAAATAAATTCTGCATTCAGAGACCTTAAAAACCTCTTTCAGCATCATCTCGAATTGCATGCGCAGTCCGGACGCGTAGCCGGAAAGCCATTATGTGAAAATCTATGAAAAATGATGAATTTTGGCTTTAAAAAGAATTAATTTGACTTCGGTCAATATTTTGGGTAAACAGACCCATACCCGTAATTTGACGATCTTGGAGGGTCCGTAGGAAAATATGGTACTTGGGCGAATCGAATTCCGAGGTCCCAAACCCGAGAAATGAATTTTTGAAGAACATTATTTTCTGGAATATTATTGAGTTTTTGGAAATGTTACGTGTTTAGAACTTGAAGGTATCGGGCCCATATTTTGGTTCCAGCGCCCGATACAAGTCTTATATATGGTTTGAGTCGAACCTTTGAAATTTGGTAAGAAACGAACTTGAAATGACTTGAATTAGCCTTATTTGGTAAAATTGGAAAATTTGATGTTCTTAAGAAATTTCATAATTTTGATGCAAAATTCATAGTTGTTGATGTTATTTGAGTAATTTGAATACACGAGCAAGTCCGTATGATATTTTTAGGTTGGTGTGCATGATTGGCTTGGAGCCCAGAGGGCTCGGGTGAGTTTTGGATAGGCCACAGAGTGGAATTTTGACTTGGGATGTTGCAGATTTGCGAAGGCTATGTTGCAAATGCGAACTAGCCCAGGCCAGCACTATTTCGCAAATGCGAGGTTCTCATCGCAAATGCGATCCTTCCCCCTTCCCCCCAGCTACTGTCTTAATCGCAAATGCAATTTCGCATTTGCGAAAGGTCTATCGCAAATGCGAAGAAGACCGGAAAATTTACTTGGTCGCAAATGCGACATTTTGTTCGCAAATGCGAAGGTCTCAGAATCCTAAAGGATTCGCAATTGTGAACCCTGGTCGCAAATGCAATATCAGAGACCTGTAAATTCACACTTAGACGCATTTTCAACCATTTTTCACATCTTCTCAAAACATAAACTCTATTGGGCGATTTTCCAAAGAAACCTTCTTCTCCAAATAAATTGTAAGTCATTTCTAACTAGTTTTCTTCAATCATTAACATCTTTTCACATGATTTCAACTCAAAATCAATGATTTTCATGGGGGAAATTGGGTGTTTTGGGTAGAACCTAGGTTTTTTAAAAATTGGGGATTTGGACCTCGATTTGAGGTACGATTTTAAAATAAATTATATATTTGGGTTCGTAGGGGAATGGGTAATCGGGTTATGGTTCGAATCTCGAGTTTTGACCATATGGGCCCGGGGGCAATTTTTGACTTTTTGGAAAATTTTTTAGAAAACTCATTTTCATGCATTAGGATTGATTCATTTAGAATTTATTGTTGTAATTAAGTAACTTGTGGCTAGATACGAGCGAATTGGTGGTGGAATGATGAGGTAAAGCGATAGTAGAGGCTTGAATTGTGTTCGTGACATCGAGGTAAGTGTTTGGTCTAACCTTAGCTTGAGGGATTAGGAGTTACGTCTTATTTGCTATGTGTTAATTGCGGAGTACGACGTATAGGCATGGTGACGAGTATCTATACGTCGGTGTCAAGCATGCCCGTGAGTCTTGTATTGTAATCGTTATGACTCTGTTGTGGTTTATTGCACTTCACATGTTATTATCATTATTGTTCCCTTGCCGGGATGTTATTAACATTATTATTCCCTTGCCGAGATATGGTCTTGATATTATTGTTCCCTTACCGGGATGTATGTGAAATATAATTATTCCCTTGCCGGGATTCTTTTGTGATTGTTGTTGATTTGTGAATATGATCGAGTGGCACACCACCACGAAAATATATGAAATGGGAGAGGGTTGCATGCCTGCAACAAGATATATGAAATGAGAGCGGGTTACACGCCTGCAACGAGATATATGAAATGGGAGCGAGTTGCACCCCTGTAACGAGATATGTGAAATGAGACCGGGTTGTATTCCTGCAACGAGATATATGAAATGGGATCGTGTTGCATGCCTGGAACGAGATACAGGAAATGGGATCGGGTTGCACGCCTGCAATGAGATGTGAAATGAAAGTGAACTCTGTAGTTGTTTTCCCTATCTTTGTTAGCAATTGGATTTTTGTTTCTTTATATTTCTCTTGATATTCTGTTGTTATCGGTTACTCCCCGCAACATGTTTCCCCCGCCCAATATTAATTGTGATTATCTGCTTCTATTTCCGCTGTATATGATTTAATTGCACAAGTTTATTTGGTAGTCTGGTCCTAGCCTCGTCACTACTTCGCTGAGATTAGGCTGGGCACTTACCAACACATGGGGTCGGTTGTGCTGATATTACACTCTGTACTCTTTTGTGCAGATCCCAGTGCTGTAGACTTCGGACCGCAGTGAGATTGCTGTTTCTTGTTCATCAGGCGACCCGAGGTAGTCCTGCAGGCGTCCACAGGCCTTGGCATCACCTCATATCTTTCTTTTATCCTGTTTCCTTTACTTATTCTAGAAACAATGTATCTTTTATTTCTTTCAGACCTTTATTTGTAGTACTCTTAGACTGACTGTGAAGCTGTGACTCCAGTTCTGGGTGGTCTTGTTTAAACAGTTGTATTGGTTATACTCAGTAATTTTATTATTTTTCTTCCGCTTGATATAAATTTCGCTGTCTTTAAGTTATTGCTCATAATTTCTTGTAAAGGATTAAAATGGGAAAAAGGTAATTTGTTCAAACAGTCGGCTTGCCTAGCTCATACTAGTAGGCACCATCACAACTCCCTAGTGTGGGAAATCCGGATCGTGACAGTAGATGTGGCCCATCTTTCAAGCGTCAACAGCTTCGCATCCCTAACTTTAACACTCGCTTTTGCAACTTCGCACCTGCGAGCAAAGCTCTGCTGGTGGGACACAGCAACACTAGAACTGCTAACAACATAAAAAATAGTTCGGAATCAATCTAAAACACTCCCGAGTCTCCCTGGACCCTATCCAACCATATGAACAAGTCCCAATATCTTATCCAATCCTATCCAAAAGCTCAAAAAATGGAATTAACATCAAAATCTGGAATAGACAGTCAAAATCAATCGCTTAAGTTCCAAACCTTCTAACGTTCACAACAGGTCTGAACGATGCTAAACATTTTTGATTCAAACTAAATTTCGCACACAATTTCAAAACCACAATACGAGTCCAATTTAATCAAAGTCAACTCCCAGTCAAACCTATGAACTCTCCAAACCTTCAAATTTCTAATTTTTGGCAAAAAAGTGCCAAAACATCCTAGGAATCTTCAAATCCAAATCCGAACATACGGCTAAGTCAAAAATCACCATACAACCCTATTGGAACTATCAAATCACTAATTTGAGACTATCTATTCAAAAGTCAAACCTTGGTAAACTCTTAACAACTTAAACTTCCAAAATGAGATTAAGATCAATTTTTTTCGAAACCAGTGTTTGGCCATAAAATTGTCAATTTTCACTTGAAGATGAATTTTGGAATTTTTCTAAAATTTGAAAAACTCCAAAAAGCTGTTTTTCAAAATTTTCACTCAGATCACTCACAAAACTTCAAAAACAACCCAAAATTATATTCATGTCCAAATACAACTCTAATTTACAAATACTATTTTCACTTGAAAAAATTTTTGCTTTTTTTCTTTTTTAAATTTTTACAATTCCTATGTCCAAAACGCCCACTAAATGCCTCCAATCACTCTCAAACCTTCACGAAAAATAACAAACACACATATGGAAAGCATCAAATTGGGGAATGAGGCTCAAATATACAAAATGACCGGCGAGGTTGTTACAATTTATTTCTTTTGAAATTTTCATTTAGTGAGTGTATTAAGCTAAACATTTAAGAGAAAGGAAGTACACAAGTACTCTTTAGAAGGTATAAATTAAAAACCCTTAAAGGGAGATAATATGGTCTGAAAGTAATATCAAAATTTTATCTGTATTTATCAAAAAAAAATTAAGTAAATAAAAAAAAATGGCTCCGCATCATTATTTGTTATGATCATATGATAATATCACCTAGGTTCAGTTTTTAACAGAGTTGTATTTTCTAATTTAACATGGAAATTAGTTAAGAAAATGAAAGGTGAAGTTAGAAAGTCAAACTTTCCATGACAACTTGCTTGGAGGGGCAAAAAAAATTTGAAGAAAAAAAGAATAGAATATGGGAACACAACATACATATTGTTTTGTCGGAACTAATATGAACTAATAGAAAACAATATGTAACTGGTGAGAAGGTACAGGCAAAGTCAAAAGTGTCAAACGAGTTAAACTTTATTTAATTACTTCTCCAGCATTGAAAAAAACTATAGAGTTTAATTGCATATTGCGGCTTTATGGGATAGTAGGACAAGTTCAAATTCTTCAATCCTTCACTCACATGCCATCTTTTTCTTTAATTTGTCACAAATTTTCTCCAACCTCTCTCTTTCAATATATCTATATAAAGCCCCACCACCTTCTCTCATGTAGTAATCCAAACATACATCTTTCTTCTCACCTCATCTCATCTTTCTCTTTCTCTCTAAAACCCTTTTTCTCTCCATCTCTTTAATTTGATCAAAAACTGATTCATCTATCAACTTCTTTTTTCCATCAATCAATCAGTTTCTCCGTTTAGAGTAAAATCATCTGTCGTGATGGATCATCACCATGTTAAAGTCGGTTTGAGCCGTGGGGGTAATTATAATAAAAATAACAACCATCAACAACAGCATGAAGAAGACATGGACCTCCGACGAGGTCCATGGACTGCCGAAGAAGACTTCACCCTCATCAACTACATAGCTAAACATGGTGAAGGTCGCTGGAATTCTCTCGCCCGCTGTGCTGGTATATTTTTATGTGTTTTGTTTCACCTATTCTTTTTATAATTAACCATCGACGACGTTGATTTAAAATTGATGAGACGCACGTTTATCGTGTTGGTTAGATCTTTTATTCTCAAAACAATGGGTATATATGTTGGACAGTTCGTGGTAGATAAGGATTTAAGTGGGCGTGGTTTGTAATTTCTTTCCGTACTAGGTAATCTTTTAAAAGCAGAGAACTCATCCAATAAACAAATAAAGGTAAAGGAAAGGAGAAATAATTGCCAAGATTTATTATTAAAAAAAGAGAAGAAAAAAAGTTCAGTTGCTACCTGTATGAACTTTACCAATAATTGAGCTCAGAAATATAACGAGGAATCTAATACTTGAATGGCATGGAACTGTAATAGGTTTAAAGCGAACTGGGAAAAGTTGCAGATTGAGATGGCTAAATTATCTCCGCCCGGATGTTCGACGTGGAAACATCACTCTTGAAGAACAGCTTGTGATTCTTGAGCTGCATTCTCGTTGGGGCAATCGGTATGTTAAACATTACTGAGTGTAGTTTCAGGCTTGTTTGGGTACTCAATTCTGATCAATTATGTTATATATGTGTAGGTGGTCAAAAATTGCTCAGCATTTGCCAGGAAGAACTGACAACGAAATCAAGAATTACTGGAGAACCCGAGTGCAAAAGCATGCCAAACAACTGAAATGCGACGTCAACAGCAAGCAATTTAAGGATACCATGCGTTATCTATGGATGCCAACGCTAGTTGAGAGAATTCAAGCAGCTGCCACCACAAACTCCAATCAAGTGACAATTAATCCAAACAATAACAACGCTGTTAATAAGCCAAGAATGAGTGAAAATTATTCAATTAGCTCGGCAGCTTCATCAGAAAACTCATTTGGGACGCCTGTTTCTGACCTCACTGATTGTTGCTACAATTATCCCCCAGTTATAACTAACAATCAGCAAGATTATTTTTATCAAACTACTCAACTCAGAGAATCTTTAACCATCCCCACGGGTCTAGAATTCCATACTGCAATGGATCAGCAAAACATGAGTCAATGGATGGACGGTGGGAATTTCTCTGACAATTTGTGGAACATTGAGGATATGTGGTTCATACAGTAGCAACTGAACAACAACATATTAATGTCGTCTGAGGATTGACCAAACTGTTTAAATATAATAAGAGCAAACATCATCACATCACGTGTAGAAAAAAAAGAAAAAAAAAACTAAAGAAAATTTGTGGATTTTCATCCTTCTGTAGGACACACACATGTAGCTTCTTGGGAGAGAGACATGCAGGACTAATTGTGGATTTTACAGTTTTATGTTTAGTATCTTAGAATTACCTTTCGTCTCTATATTAGTTTTTCTTTTCTTTTCTTTCTTTTGCCTTTGAGGGGGTTGGGTTAAAAGGATTCATGATTTGTAACTTCTTTTGATATTATTTAAAACATCTAAGTTCTTTAAACTATATTTTTTTCTTTAAAATTCTTGTATTTCTTTCGATTTTATTCTTCTTTCCAGAGCGGGCGATAGAAACCAATATAAGATTTAAGAAACTCCTCTTTCTTCCAACTTATGTGAACCTGTTTGACTGAGCACGAAATTTAAGAAAAAATGAATACTTTTGGAATTTGTGGTCCGAAATAGATCAAAAAGGAGTCCAGAGTATTTGTGTGGTTATAAAAGCTTCTCACTAAGGGTAGAATTGGAAGTTTAAGCTAAATTGTTTCCAAACTTAGAAATGGGTCATTCTTTTCGGAACGGACCAAAAAGGAAATAGGTTCAAATAAATTGGAACGGAGGGAGTAATAAGAAAATTCCACATTCGGGTTGTACTAGCTAGACATGATTCCTTTTCTTTTTGTATTCTTTTCTTTTCTTGTATCTTGTTCTTGTAATCTATTCATTGGCTAATTAAAGTAGACTTAAGGTTGCATTATGGAAGGGGAAATAGGTTATAAGTATAAAGACGATATTAAAATGTGGGGAGAGTGTTCATAATTGGTTGCACTATCTTTACTAGTGAAATTGTCATTGTTACTTCTTATTCTAGTGTTAGCCACAAGTCGTGGAATTTCCGAAACATAGGCTATGGGGCCTGAACCAGATTAAAAGATCCTTGTCCTTGCTCTAGATTAAGGAAAAAAAGTACAGAAGCAATGATTTAAGGACGTGGCATATTCTCAGTTGTATATTTATAATTAGTTAAATCCATATTGCTGGAATTCTATTCCCTTATTGGAGTAAAGTCTCCCATTACTGTGATCTTATCATCATATTGTGTGAATGCTACCTGAGTGGCTTCCAATGTCACTAGTGACTAATTGCAATTGATTATAACTTAACATTATATAATTTTGTCAATTATCTCTTAAGAGACATCTCATTATTAATCTTTGTTCTGTTTTGGCACTTTGTTTGCCATCTTACGAACAATGTTTCACTGAGCCCATAAAACTCGACAACGTTCCCATCTTTATATTCTTCTTTTAATGTCTGTCAATCATCTCTCTAACACATCCCTAGAAGCTGCGGTTAAAATACTGATTATTAGGTTTTCGCATTTGTTTTTGACAATAAAATTATACAGAATGCACAAGATACATGCATTTCCCCCTAAACCTTTACGTATTTTTTTAAGGTCAAGCAGAGAAAAAAAAATCTTTTATCTCCTTCCTACTAAGCAGTGAAAAAGAACAACATCGACGAACCACGAATTTCCCATTATTTTTTAACAAGTCTCTAATACAAATTAACCAATAATTAATACTCCCTCCGTTTCAATTTAGATCAGGTAATTTGACTCGGCACGAATTTTAGGAAAATATCATCCTTCACTTTGGGTCCTTTCACCTTGGGAGCGGGTGAAAGAATTGACCAATAATCTTAGAATTTTTCCACCGGTACCAAGTCTGCTTGACCCAAGTAGGCCCATTTATATGGCGTACAGTGGCCTGCCTCCACCAATTATGCGGTGAGACTTGGGAAATGCTAACTCTCGTATATACGATGAACTTTTACCCCCCAAAGATCTTCTGTGGGGTGTTCTCAACCTCAGCAAGCTTGGTCATCACGCCCTCCTTACCAGTGTTGATGATGTCAACAGTCGTGGATGGATAGAAAAGTTCATTGTCATTGCTACAAGAAACATCATCCTGGCCGCAGTGCCAGCTTTCCCTGAATCATGGAATCTTTTCCATAAGTTTTTGAGTATCTATTTTCTTTCCTTATAAAAAAAAAACTTCCTTCTCTGCTGATTTTTATCTCCTTTATTCCAGCTACCCGTTGGGAACCACCACGGGTTCAAGGCCTGGACCGATGAGTGCAGAAATTTTTTGACATCAGTACACCGGAATCCCGAAGGTGGAAAGAGATGGCTCCCAAATATGGTTAGAAAGCTAAGAATCATGGTAAGCAAAAATTCTTCTTTCTTTCAATCTTATCAACTTAGGAATAATCTGTTAACTATCCTTTTGCTCCACACAAGACTTCCATAGGGTTCCGTCGTGTGCCCCGGCGTCTAGGCTCTTGATGACACTGAGGAGGTCGAATGGATATTGCAGAATGCCCTTAATCGCAGTAGGGCTCGTGGATCTACTCGCACCTCTGGTGAGGGTGCCTCCTCCCGGGGTCCCCTGTCCAAAAATAAGAAACCAAAGACGAAGATTTTCTACTCGATTGGGACTTAGGAGAAGAGAGCAAGAGGAACGTCAACCAGACCGGTCACATTGGTCCTTGATTATGAGGAATGGGACAATGATGAAGAAGCCCCTCTTTAAAGAAGAAAAAAATCTTCATCAGCTCAACCGTGTTCTCAACCGGGAGAGTTCCAAAATCCACTGTTAGAAGAAGTTTAGGCGCTCTGGGCGGAAATGGATTTGGTTGAAAATGTTGATTCCCGCTTTTTGATCCCTGTCGACATCTTTGGTTAGAGGCGTCCAGCCCCTGACCCTCTTGTGCTACAAACTTCTGAGCCAACAAACTGCCACTCCTTCTACACCAGTTATATCTTGTTCATGTGCACCGACATCTCCTTCTCCACCAGCACCAGCTGCTTCTTACCATCCAAAAAAGTAGTAAGTGCCTCTTCTCCACGGTCTCCCGACCACGAAAACTTGGGATATACTTACTCGGCACCCTCTCAAGACCCTCGTGGAAAGCGAAGTGTTGTCCTTTCGACTTCGAAGGAGTGCCATTTTCTTTCCCAGCTGGTAGAACTTGCCAATTATCTGAAGTTGCTAGCCTCAGCAAGGGATTGGAGAAATATGGACTATCTTTCGGCGGAGTGTCTTATAAACAATAGCATGCATTGTTCGGTGCAGGTAGCGATCTGACTTTCTTATATCTATTTTTAATTTATACTTATCATTCATAATGTTATTACTGACCTTTTTGCCGACCTACCTTCTTGCTTATGAGGGTCTGCAAAAGCTTATTTTTTACAAGCAAGAGCTTATTTCGGAATAAGATCAGCTCTTGGCTGAACATAATAAACTTGTCGAGTGTCTCTCGATGCTGGAAGCAAGAATTTCTTGAGTGGATGATCTTGAGTCCTGGTTGCAGCAATCCGAACAAGATAGAATGGCCCAGAGTTGAGAAGCTTCCCAACTACATGAAAACCTTAAAGAAGTAAAGGCTAAGTGGGTCGACATGCATGATACCGTGACAGCTGCTGCTAAGCGTGAGTCTGCTTTGATGGAGCAAGTTAATAACTTGGAGGCTAGCTTACGCTCCAAAACTGAGGAGGCCAATGCTGCAGAGGAGAGGAGAGCAAAAATGCAAGGGAAGCTTAAAAGAGTCATAGAGCGGAATCGACTTTGTTTGTCAACCAACGTTGAACTCGATTAAAAAATCAGCACAATGAAAGCTAAAAATGAAAATCTCCAATTCAAGATTGATAAGGTCTGAGCAAAACTTCAGGATCATGAAGATTCACTCGTCTTCGAGAAAACCTACACCATTTATCATATAAAGAGGAAACCCCTGGAGAAGGCCAAAGAAGGCATTGTAAATATTGATTATCTCATTGCCAAGTCCCGGGAACTGGAGACAAGTGCTCATGAGAACATTCTTGTTCGGCCCACTGTATCTGATTCCTCGAATACTAACTCTGAATATTCGGTAACTGAAAGTAAAATCTAAGAAGATGAAGGCCTCCAACCGATAGCCGAATATCCTTCCCCCGCTAGAGTAAATGAAGACTTTTCTCTCCCTTCGGGTTCTGGCAGCAAGGACTGATGTGTATTTTTACTTTACCTTTTGTAATTATGCCAAAATGTTTTACTATATTTGGCACTTTAATAAAAGAAACTTTTTGCTTAAGTGTTGCGCAAAAAATACTCTTTTTTTCTTTAGTTGACAAAGCTTCGGGAATATTTTCTCATCCAATAACTTTTGATTCCGAGCATAAACACTTTTGGAGTCTACCCTTTACTATGAGCATTTCATAAGAGAGAGACCATATGTTTACGGTGCTCTTGAAGAGGACGTCTCCTATTCATTCTGACACAAGCATTTGATATTTTTTTTAACTTTCAAACGATAAAACAAATTAACTTATCTTTGGGACGAGAGATAAGATTTAAATAAAATGATGTTGATTTATTCCTTCTTCCTTTAAAAGTACATTTATATAAACATTCGCTTGCTTAGGTAAATAAAGCTTCCAATACATATGGCTAATTGTACAACTTATTTGTTAGGTCAGATCATGCAGTCTCCTGTCCCGATAAGACGTTGATCCCGATTCTAATAGTCCCCCATCTTTCTGACACTTTTAGTTCCATGTCATGTATTATTTCCCCAGTGTTTGGACGCTGAGCATGAGAATTTAAACATTAGAAGTCATGCATTCATCGATAACACTTCCCTTTTAACAAGCTTTGAATTGCTATCTCTTAATGGAAACATCTTGTGGAAGGGTAAATAATCTGTTTCTAGAGGTCTACATGATGTCCCCTGCACCAAGTCAATACCAAAATCAATGTCCCCGTTGGGTGGCATACCCAACAGGTCTACAGGAAACACATCCGAAAATTCTCGCACAACAAGAACAAAATCAATGGTAGATGTATTAGCCCCAACATCCCTCACAAAGGCCAAATATTCCAAACATCCCTTCTCAACCATCAGTTGGACATTCAAAAATGAGATCCCTCTACGGGGAACATAGTCCAAAGAACCTCTCCATTCAATCATACACAATCCTGGCATCACCAACGTC